TACGTGCCGTGCCCCCGCCTGCTCAAGCTCTTGATGTGGACCTGAATAACATTGAATTGTGGAAAAGGGGTATCGCACACCTAAAAAACCGAACATCGCAAGGTGTATGCGGTTTTACTGCTACGGAACTCAAATCTTTGGGAAACCAGGGAGTGCAAGATCTTGCACATATATTGCAAGGCTTCAGTGACGGATGGCCGGATTGGATGATGGTAAGCAGAGTTTCTTTGCTTGCCAAAACTGATACTCCTCTGTCGCCTCAAAGGCAAAATTATCCAAACTTCTGCATGGCCAAAAGCGTTTCATGGCTGTGAGTTGTTTCCTCTAGGAAGACAACACTATGAACCCCTAAGATCGCTCGTAACTTCCTGCCTACTTGGAGGAGAATGCAAAGCCTCTCCTCACTTGGCCTGCAATGCCTTGTTGGACAAATTGCAGGATCCAGAGGAATACGTCACCCAATTGCCTAAGACACTTTCGACGCTTTTTGCTTCGTAATCCAGACCTAAGGGCTGAGGCGCTGAATCGGGTCATCTCGCATCCTGCTAATTATCAGCGGGTATATGGTCCAAGTGGTACCGTTGCAAACACTCTTTGTAAACTTGGATGGACTGTTGGTGCAGAGGCAGAATTGCAGTGTGACTTGCCCACCTCAATCCACCTGCTTGACACGCCGTGGCCTTGTATACAACAACACATTCACCTTGCTTGGATGAGAATTGTTGCTGTACGAACATCGCACCGAAAGCTTATGACAAATATGCTGCATGTTAGTAGGAAAAACACCGCCAGCGTATTATCCATGTGCGAATTCGGTACTGCAAAAACTGCAGCCAGACAAATTTGTGGAGGATACCAGCATGGTACTCGCAAGGCAATTTGGTTGGCTGGGTATGACGGAGCATGCACAATGTGTGGAGAACCTGATGAGTGTCAACATAGGTTCACGCCTCTCTCTTGTAGAGGGGTTGCCCAACCTCCATTCAAATGCAGCCACAGAGCTTCTCGCGCTCGTCAGACCAGGAAACGCCCTCGTCAGAGCAAAATTTTGTGCTCTACAGCAGCTCTGGAGCCCCTGTAGCTGCGTTTCTGCGGCCGCTCAAGATGCTTGTAAAAACGCCTGTAGTTGCACTTCTGCAACCCTCGCTGTTTGAGGGTTCCAAAAAAAAAGAATTGAACGGTGCACAAAAAGGGAACCCAACAAAAAATGAACGGTGCACAAAAAGGGAACCCAACAAAAAAATGAACGGTGAACAAAAAAGGGAACCCAACAAAAAAAGAACACAAAAAAAGGAACAAAAAAAAGGAAAAGGGAAAAAGGGGTCCTTTTAAAGGGCTCGGGCTGCAGAAGTGCAACTACAGGCGTTTACAGAGCGCAAAAACTTTGCTCTGACGAGGGCGTTTCCTGGTCTGACGAGCGCGAGAAGCTCTGTGGCTGCATTTGAATGGAGGTTGGGCAACCCCTCTACAAGAGAGAGGTTTGACGAACCCTCGGAGGGGCTCCGTTTTTTTCGGGGGGGGCGACTGCTCGCTCGCTGCGCTCGCTTGCAGCCGCGACCCCCTCGCAAAGCCTCCGCCCCCCACGAGGGGATTTTTGCGCCGTTTTGGCACAGCTGGCACACTGGCGCGCGGAGCCGTGCACTGCGCCCGCTGCGACAAGGCCGCGGCCACCTGCCGGGCCGCCGTTTCACATGAGCCCTACATGAGTCCTACATGAGTCCTACATGAGTCCTACATGAGTTCTACATGAGGCCCACTGAGTCCTACATGAGTCCTACATGAGTCCTACATAAGTCCTACATGAGTCCTACATAAGTCAGCCCACATGAGTTCTACATGAGTTCTACATGAGTCCAACATGAGTCCTACATGAGTCCCACATGAGTCGCATATGAGCTCACATGAGTCCTACATGAGTTCTACATGAGTCCTACATTACATGAGTCCTACATGAGTCCTACATGAGTCCTACATGAGTCGCACATGAGCCCACATGAGTCCTACATGAGTTCTACATGAGTTCTACATGAGTCCTACATGAGTCCTACATAAGTCCTACATGAGTCCTGCACGAGTCCTACATGAGTCCTACATGGGTCCTACATGAGCCCTAAGCGCTGGTAGGGGCGCTCCCCTTCAAGTTTACTGCCCTTTTGGCCCAACAGGACTGTCATCAGCCGAAACCGCACTCTCCGGCCACTGCAGGCCGCGGCCACCTGCCGGGCCGCCAGTGGCCGTAGCCGCCCGTGCCGCCCCGCCACTGCCCACGGCGTTGCCGCTGCCGGGCCGCCCAGGCTCTGGTTTGGGCTTGACAGAGACGCTGGTGCCCGAAAAGGTTCAGAAAAAGCAAACGCCTTCAAACGGGAATTGCTAAGCGCTCCGCAAGCTCGGCGGTTGCCGCTTGCGCGATCTCTGCGGCTGGAATCCTGTCAAGAAGATCGCGCGACTGTCCGTTGACTCGTTCGTAGTGCTGGCCCACCAGCCTTGGTCCTCTTTGTGCCGCCCGGCGGTGTCTGCCGTCCTGCCAGGCTTGGCAGCGATCTCCATGCCGGCAGAGCTTTTGGCTGGGCTGCCAGCGCATGTTGGTCCACAGGCGTGTCTGCTTGCGGTAGGGAGTTCCGTAGCCGCTGCATGAATGGCCGCACCTTGAGAAGGCCCGTTTGAGGGTTCTCCAGCGCCCACATGGGCGGGTCGAAGTGCGCGATGATTTCGAGTGCCCGCAGAACCGTGGCGTCGCCTTCGGCAAGCCGCCGCGGGCGCGTGGTCAAAGCGCGTGAAAACTCCGTGCACGGCGGCGAAGCCCGGATGAAGTCGAAGTGCCCCGGCGGAAAGGCCGCGCAAAAGTCCCAGCGCAGCACGTCGCAGCAAATGTCAGGCTGGAACTTGGCTTCCATGTCCAAGGAAGTCACTTGCCATCCTGCTTGCTCAAAGGCCCGGCCGATCGCCTCGGCATCGCTTTCTCCAGAGACCTCCGCCGCGAGCCACACCAGCGCGGCGAGGCCGGCAACAAGGCTTGCTACCACGCAGTTGGCCACAAGTATGCCTAGTGGTCGGACCATTCTTTGTCTGGAAGCCTTAATAAAGCAGCCGATAACTCGCTTCGAACATGAAGCTTGCGCTGGCGGACGCGCAGACCAACGCCAAGGGCGGGCGCTTCATGCCCATCGAGGATTCCCGCCGCGGCGTGTTGCAATTCGCCACGCCGCAGCCGGTGGAAGTGCTCTGGGAGCCGGGAAATTACCAGGACGACGGGGCTCGGCGGGTAATGCTGCTCGACAAGCCGTTTTCCGGCGCGTCCCGCGCCGACCTGCAGGGCCAGCTGCAGAGCGCGGTCAAGGTGAGCGCAAAGGGCGAGCACGTCAAATGCAAGATTCATTTGGACCGCTGCCTCTTCTGGGACCCCGCCGGCAAGCCGGCTGAGCGCCCCGCGGAGCTGGCCCGCAGGCGGGGGCGCGCGCAGATCGAGGCCCGCCAGGTTTGGCTGATGAGCCGGCAGTGGGGCGTGCTCTTCGAGGTCCGGCACGTGCAGCTCGAGCCGCTGGAACCCCCTTGCTGCCCGTTCCTAAAATAAAGGGGGTGACAGCAGCGAGCTTGTCGTACGCGGTATTGCCATGAACTCCCTGGACAGCCAGTTCTGGACGTATGTGTACAGCGAGCTTGCGAGCGGCTTGGAGAACGAGCTGCCCGAGCTGGGCTTGAGTTATTGGCACGCGGGCATGCAGGTCCACTTGCCCGACGGCGACGCCGTGATGGTGCGCGCCGTGCTGGACTTGGCCGACCGCGCCCGGCGCCCGGCAAGGGGCTGCAGGTCCTCCTGCGCGTAGGCGATTGCAAGATCTCGGCGACGACCTGCCCTTGCGGCGAGTTCACGTTCGAGATTGGCGAGCGCGGCCTGTTCAACCAGCTCGTGGCGCAGCTGGGCGCCGCGGTGGCAGTCTACCAGCGCGCGGGCTCGCAGGGCTCGCGTGCGGTGGGCTTCCCGCTGCAGTGGTGGCTGCCCACGCCGCTTCGAGCAGATTGGAGCTGGTCAACCGGGATGCACCGACATATATGTGGCGCGCCCTGGCAGTAGGTCACCGCGTGGCTCAGCCGCGTGGCGCGGAGCAGCTCCTGGTGCTTGAGCCGCAGCCCGTTGTCGAGCCGGACGTGCTCGGCCTCCACCTCCACCACGGCCACGAAGACGCCCTTCAGGATCTTGCCCCGATAAGCCGCAGCCCGGCCGATTTTGGGGGCTCTCTGGCCTAGCTTGGGTTGTTGCAAGGTCCACCACCACGGCCTCTGATGACCAGCGTGGTGTCGGGCCAGCCGGGCTTGGCGGGGAACAGCTCCCGGGCCCGCGCCTTGGCCTCTTCCAGCGGCGCCGCGTCCGCTCGCCCACCCGCAGCCAGCGCCGCGCGAACTCAAAGATGCCGGGGTCCGAGCGCATGTTCTCCGTGAGCCCGTGCCTGTGGCCCCTAGCCAGGTCAATCACCGCCGGGTCTTGAACGCCTGCTGCGACACCTCGCCCTGCTGCCACAGGCAGCCGCAATCTTACAGGCCAACAGCAAAGCGCAGAAAGGGCGCAGTCTTGCACAACCTGCTGGGGTGTCTCGGCCAGCCTGCCTGCCTACCTGCCTGCCTGCCTGCTTGCTTGTGCACTTGCCAGTGGTTGCTTGGTTTTGTCTGCTCTGGCCTGGCTGTCTGGGTGATGGTGCTTGTTGGGTTGGTGGCAGCGTAGCTGACTGCTCCGAAACTGTCCATGCACGCAAAACTGCAAGTGGGAGTAACGCTAGCAAACTCAGCTCCAGCACACCGGTCACCGTGTGGGTTTCGAGGTTGGGCAGCCCTTTTGTATTTCCGAGCGTGTTTCAAATACAAAGGAAATGCATGAACGATTTGCCTTCCCCCTGTGCTGCAACAGCTAACAACATTCAGGCAAACTGAGATTAAACCAGCACACAAGCTGCTACTACCAATCAACCCATCCCGACCCTTTTTTTTACGTCTTCAACAGCGTGCGCCTGGCTCTCACCTGGGGTCTGGACAGAGTGAAATTCCTCAAAGCCGCCAATAGCAAGTCTGACCGGGGCGGCAAGCAATGAAACAATAGTTCCTCGTAGTCAGCTCTGGTTTTCCAGCTGAAATGCGCATTCGCATTGCGCAACATCTCCAAGTAGATGCACCACGGCATGTCCAACTGATACCGCTTGTTGTTCCTTCTTTTGTCCTCCCGAAGCTTTTGTATGCTCCTTTTTACAGCATCATTCGACCAACTCAGCAGTCGTTTAAAATAAGGCTCCCCTTCCTTTGGATGCCAGCGTTGTTGCCATCCATGCCTCCTGCAAATGGTCTCCACGTGCCTGCGGTCTTGCTTTTCCTTGACGCTCAGTTGGTGATTTTTTCGTAGCGTGCCTTGCACAAACTCACCAACTCGCGCAAGTTGCTGCAGTCTTTGCTCGTTCTGGTACCATTGCAGGACCGGAAAATTGCTTTGGTTCAGTAGTGCCCCGCGCGCGTCTATACAGCGTGCCACGCACAGAGTCCACGGGTTGTTTGCAAAAGAGAATTTGCCGTTCTTCTCATGAATATATGGCTTGAAGAAGCAGTCGTACACTGTCTCATCAAAAAAGACTGCTGGGTCAGAGGTCGCCTGACCATTGGCCAATTCCCTTATGTACTGCAAACGTTGCGTATTGGACCAACTTGGATCCGCCAGCAAAGGGGTCATCTCCGTCACGAACTCATTTCTCAACTTCATGTTTACGCGTTTTTGTGTCTCACTCTTGGACGGTTCGTCCTTCCACACTGCTGCTGTGTATGCCATTAGCGGCACGGATGGGATCTCGCCTAGCAGGTCTGACAGTTCATCTCTCTCGGCTTCATTGGCTGCAGCGGCCAGAAATTCCTGTCTGGCATAGTCCAGCTCCTGGACGGGGTTCTGCCACGGGAGGAAAACCTTCGACACACGCCGGGAAAGATGAATCCATTGGGAGTCATCCTCACGAAGCTTTGCCAAGCCAGCACCATGCCTGATCCCGTGATGGCAAAGTGCAGGTTGGAGTCTTCCCTGCTGACTCGGAGGAATCCCTTGAGTATGTCCCAGGTTGGGATAGTTCCCTCTTGCACTTGGAAAAACCTCTGAACCTGGTCGATGAGGAAAAAAACAGTACGCCCGGACCTATCCAAATTGTCCATCAACTGATTCAAGGTCAGCTGGTCTGCTGGGCCCACATGGAACCCAGCGCCTGTTGCCCAACTGCAAACTTCTTTCAGCAATCTTTCCTCCATTGCTCCCGGCTCGGAGCCCGCACTCAGAAAAGAGGCAAAGTCCAGGAAGCAAATATCGGCATTTGGAAACTTCGTCAAAATGATCTGGGGCAGAAGGCGAGTCAATACGGTAGATTTTCCCGTTTTTACCATGCCATTGATGGCGCAGATGCGTCGGGAAGACACACAGTCCTCCACCCACGCCGTCAAATTCTGCATCAGCTCGCTGGACACAATGGCAAATTTTGGCGAATCCTTGAAATCGCAGACCAGCAGTTTCTCGCCGTCAATGCGCTTTTCTCTCACATCGTACTCGGGGGCGAGGTACCGTTGCACGCTTCTTGCGCCCTGCAACTAAGCAGCAAGAAAAAACAAGCGCGACTAGAACAAAAGCAGGCTCTTCAATATTTTGCGGGGTTCCCCCTCAACTATTCGATAGTTTGGTGCGCCACTAATCACTCACCCCAAATCAGGCAGATATGAGCGGTACATCTAAAATTGAACAAAGGAAGGGAAACGGAATGGCAGCACAACGGGCCAAAACATCGAACAAGAACCCTGCTCTTGGATGCAAATCCGGGAATGGCTGAGCTCACTGCATCAGAAAGAACATTCACAGAATGCACTTGTGCCCACAGCAGCAAGGACCCCAATGGGTGCAAAAACATCAGAGTTTGCATTCCCTCTCCCCGACGGTCTTGTTCTTTGAAAAAACAGGCTGGGGGGCAAGCACTCACAAATATCAACGGCATGTCTCAATCAATCTCGACCGGCAGGAATGACCGACCTCACCGAACGGCAAGGAATGGCAACCATCCGTTCATGGGGGGCTCCATACCGAGCCTGCCAACGACAGCAAGCGTTGCAATCTGCACAAATGCAATCTTGGGATTTGCTGGTTCTGTGGATGTTGATCAGGGCAGGGTCAAAACCACGCGCAACGACGTCTCAGAACAAAGTCAAAAGCAAACGATTTCCCAGCCGTGCCTGGGGCTCGTTCAGCAGTCGGATCTTCTCGGCCAGCAGCTTTGCTGGGCCGCCAGGGATGGTGTATGGAGCTGCAATCAGCTCTTCCAGTGTCAGCTTCAGCAGGGCCTTGCCGGCGACCTCGTTCTCGCGGAGAATGCTCAGCACTCGGCCAATGCCTTTCTTGGTGTCTTTTGCTGAGCCTTTGAGACCACCAGCCGCCAGCACCGCCTTTGCCCAGGTGAGAACCTCCTCTTCGCCGAAAGCCTCCACCTCCTCGCGGCCCTTGGCCAGCCACTCCTGCCAGCACCCACCAACAACCGAGCCTGGCGCACGCTCGCCCCCCGCCTTCGCGTCGCCGTCCTGGCACCGGCAACAGGCCAAATTTGCAACTGCTGGTTGGAGCGTCCTGTTGCGGGCTGGCGCGCAAAGCAACTCCACGCCAAAGGTGCCGGCTTGTCACCTCAAGAGCTGAGAATCCAGGCAGAAAAACATCGCAGCGACACCGAGATCTGGACCTGTGCGTTGCGAGAATCCTGGCGGCAACACACAAAACACAACCACGATGCCAAGAATCTAGCGTCCTTCCAGCCCGGGCGACTCGGTGAAACCAGCTTGTGAGGGGCGATCGCGAACAACTGCACCTGGGGCCAGAACCCGCAAACCCAAGCACTGGAAAACGTGTTGCCGAGGTCTTGGCTGTGTGCAAGAACAGCCACGCAGTTGCAATCAGAAGAAAGCGCAAATACACACCTGGCGACAGCAAGTCCTCAACAAGCACGGGTTGAAACTGACCAGCTTCGACGCTTCCTGCCCTTCATCGTTTCCATGGCCATGTTGAAGCCGGGCCACGCAGTGTGTCCCTCAATTTGCTACACAAAAAGCACCGTGCATGCTGTTTTTGCTGAGTGTTCGTGGACCGCAGGCAACGCTGCTTCTGAGCGCTATCTTGGGCCACACTACGGGTTGTTGCGGCAACAAGTAGAAGATGCTTCATGTTCCCACGCGCGCTTTCCATGCACACTTCGCCTGCATCCCGAACGTCGAATCTCCGGCTGCGCGGTTTCGCGGAAGCGATTTTTTCCGCATATCTTGGAACTGTTAAGGCAGTGCGCGGATGCTGGCATCCTGCCGTCGCTGATGTTCCCTGTGGGCAACGGAGCCTTCGTGCGAGGTGCGGAAGCCTGCCCCGCAGCTTGAGCTTGCCAACCTGGCCGACGGCGTGCTCCTGCAACACAACCGACGTGGACGTGACGCGGGCCCTGGCCTCCAAGGCGCTGAAGCCCGACGTGGGCCGGCAAGTGCACCTGCGGGCCTCCCCAACCAGACGGCCGGCGGCCGCCTCCGGGGTGCTGCTGCGCACACCTTCCTTGCCGACGTCGTGACCCTGGCGTTTTTGGGCAAGGTACCAACACCGGCACCGGCACGGCCACAGCTTGCGGCCAGCAACACGCTGGACGTGACCAACACGCTTCGGGGACAACATCACCCTGACCAGGAACGGCAGCGGCTAGGCCAGCTTGGCAGTGAACAACAACAGCGCCTGCGCCTGACCGGCAACCAGAGCGCCAGGGTGCCTGAGCAGGGACTCCGGCGCCCACGAGTGCGAGCTGAGCATGCCCAACGACGAGGCGCTAATCACCACCAAGAGCCTGAGCGCGCAGCTCTTGCTACCACCAACGACCGCAACCCCGGCTGCCTGGTGATCGCAGGCAGCATCGGCAACGTGGCATCAAGATCGCCTTCCGCGTCAGGAACACGGACGGCACCAACCCGCTGGCCCCGGCCACGCCCAACCCCGCCTGCTTTGTCCAGCGCGTCCAGGTCTTCGCCAACGGCCAGCGCTGCGACGACATCAACTACTACGGCCGCACCGTGGCCGCGCCGCATGACCTGCTGAAGGGCCGAGAGTACAACCGCAACAAGGCCATGGAGGGTTTCGACGAAGTGAACGACCCGCGCATCGCCCGCGCGGTGCACCAGGGCGGACGTGCTGCTGCGCCCCACCATGGTGGGCATCGCGCTGCGGGAAGATGCTGCCGCCGCAGCTGAACCTGGTGATAGAAATTGAGTTTGCGGACGCCACGACTGCGCTGTGGTCCGAGAACGCCGGGGCGCACCTGGCGGGGGCCACGCTGCTTTGAGATCCAGAACGTCCGAGTTCTGGCCTCCCAGGTCGTCCTGACTGCGCTGGTAGAGTCCTTCAACCGCGTGCTCCTCTCAGGAAGGTCCCTGGTGTTCAGCTACCCCACGGTGCACACGCAGCAGTCCAGCGTCCCGAACGGCGCCGTGGCGCGCGCCTTCACAAAACTCATGGGCGCGTTTGTGACTTTTTGGGACAACGACGCGGGCTCCAAGATCCACTTGCCACCGGGGCAGAACGCCATCGGCGCGGCCAGGCAGGAGGACAGCCTCCTGGAGTCTCAGATGCAGCTGGGCAGCCTGCAGTACCCTCACAACCCCATGAAGGGAGCACAGCTTCATTGCCGGCTTTCCCACCGAGCGCGCGCCGGACCTGTTTATCCACCTGGTGGCCTACCAGCTGGTGACGCTCTCGGCACGGGCGTCTCTGTGCCAGACTAACAAAAGGCCCGGTGTCCCTCTGCTTATTTTTGATGCAGCGTGACACCTTGAATGCGCCACAAAAACGGCAAAAAAAGGCCCGGTGTCCCTTTGCTTATTTTTGATGCAGCCCAAAAAACTGCAAACAAGGGGGGGTGCCCTCTTCGCATTTTTGGAAAAACATGCAAAAAAACATGGAAAAATGGGCTTCTTCCAGGCCCCTTGGATTGGAGGAACGGCCAAGTCCGGAATGCTCAGCCGCTCCGCAAGCTCCTCTGGCGCGCGCAATCTCGCACAGCGCAGCAGGAACGCTGTAGAGCAGCTCGCGTGATTGGCTGACCCTCTCGTACTGCCTCTCCATCAGCTGCGGCGTGCGCGGGGTGCCTGCCGTCCTGCCACCTCTCTCTTTAGAGGGGGTTTTCCAAATGGTTTATATTCTACCTGAGAGCCTCCTAACACTCGTCCGTCCAGCATTTGACCTCGTCCTGCGAAGGATTCGAAGTCTAAAACGCTGCGTGCAGGCGTGAGGCTGCAAAATAGAGACCCCTAGATATGCTTGCAATTTGGCTCCAGGTTGCATTTCAAGCGAGCCAACCTTTGCAGGGCTAAGAAAAACAAAAAAAAAGAAAACAAGGGGTCCCAAAAAAAGGGGTCCCCGAAAAAAAGGGAAAAGGGGTTTCCTTTGGCAAAGCTTGACATCGCTTGAAATGCAACCTGGAGCCAAATTGCAGCGCATATCTAGGGGTCTCTATTTTGCAGCCTCACGCCTGCACGCAGCGTTTTAGACTTCGAATCCTTCGCAGGACGAGGTCAAATGCTGGACGGACGAGTGTTAGGAGGCTCTCAGGTAGAATATAAGCCATTTGGAAAACCCCCTCTAAAGAGAGAGATACCGGGGATGCAGGGATTCCCTGCAGTGTCCCTGCATTGAAATTCCCCCAGGATTCCTTGCTATACGCTTAATTTCTTCAACACAAGTGCCAACACAATTGCCACTCGTGTTCACATTTCTGCCGCGCCAAACCGCGAAACCTCCACTTCTTCAACATGTCGGAGTACATGTCGGATGAACATGTTCTTGGCACTCCGGGTGCGCCACCTTCTGACACATGCTTGGGTACAAATCCAGTCCGGCAGGCCCGGCTGTGGCCCGGCATTGCCGCGCCAACCCGCTGAACCCCCACTCTCCCCCGCGTCCTTGCTATATGTGCTATATGTGCTATATCTTACACGCCAAGCCGCGGAACCCCCACTCTCCCCCGCGTCCTTGCTATATGTGCTATATGTGCTATATCTTACACGCCAAGCCGCGGAACCCCCACTCTCCCCCGGGTCCTTGCTATATGTGCTATATGTGCTATATCTTACACGCCAAGCCGCTGAACCCCCACTCTCCCCCGGGTCCTTGCTATATGTGCTATATGTGCTATATACTCTGTACGCGCGAAATCTGTACTATATGTGCTATATAGGGCCATATAGCACATATAGCACATATAGCAAGGAACCCGGGGAGAGTGGATGTTCAGTGGCTTGCCTTGTGAGATATAGCACATATAGTACATATAGCATGGAACCCGGGGAGAGTGGATGTTCAGTGGCTTGCCTTGTGAGATATAGCACATATAGCACATATAGCATGGAACCCGGGGAGAGTGGATGTTCAGCGGGTTGCCGCGCCTGCCTGCGTA